CCCCATGGCGTGACGCGCTGAGGCCTGAACGGTGATCCGCTCTGCAGTGCAGTATGTGGCAGCGGAACTGGCTGATCGTTTGGTTTGATTGCGATGAGTTACACTAACTAACACTGTCTCTGTGCATCAGTGGACTTTGTGTAACTGATAAAACAAAAATGAACATTTACTGCTACTTCATATGGAAATGCTCATAGCAAAAAGTCAAATAAAGTAAGCAAAGATAGATTGGTCTACATTGCTGTGAAGAGTTAAGCAACAGACTTAGATATACGTTTCCCAAATAATCATAAGTGAACATTTTGTGCTCTACCATTATCATGGGCTGTGATCATGGTTGCTCAGGGTCTGACATAGCTCAGATGTTTCAATCATTGGCAAGATCAGCGTGTGTGTAGGATGCTCTGTGCTTTATGTGTAATCCATGGGCTTGTTTGAACAGGATGCTGCTGTTGACTAACGTGACGACAAAACGGCCCACAATGATTCAGTGGGCCTGAAGCCACACGTCAAAGGGGAGGTGAAATAGGAGAGGAAAACTACAGGGCAAGAAAAACCAAAAAAAGGAACCAAACAAGGCTAAAAGAAGCTAACATGTAAATTTACTTTGGTAAGACTTTGAGGACACAGACTGACAGTGAAAATGAAAAATATACATACAATACATTGACAAAGGTTGATAGAAAGAAGTTTCAGAAAAACACAGTGTGAGACAGACAGGAAAAGCTAAAAGAAAAGCAACAGAAGACATGGGAGGCTGGGGGGATATATTTAGCAGCTCATTAGTCAGATATGTCCTCTACTCAGCGGGCTGGTCCCTCCGATGAGGCCCTTTGGAAATCATTATGACTGCCTGCTGCTTCAAACAACCACACACTTTTCACTGGAAAACAGTTTACAAACTGACTCTCCACAGCCTTAATATCGCATCAGGATAGAAACAAAGATTTTAACTACACAGAGGGAAATCATGCTTAATAAAAACAACTGCATGACACAACAGAAACCATCAGCAACAGAACAAACAAGTCAAGACACACACAATGATAAAACATGCCTGCTGTTTTCAGGCAGTGTAGAAAATAATTGTGAGCATCTGTGATCTGTGGAGGGGCCTGGTCAACTCTTTATAGTAAATTAAATGCCCCTGCATCCCATGTCCTCACTTTAACATCTGCTTTTCTTTGTCTGGTGAGCCCCTTTAGGCTTCCCGTAAGAGTTGACTGGTTCTGAAAGCCAATAAATGGCACACTGTGAGCCAAAGATTGATGTTTCAAGTGATAAGCACTCGGGTAATGAAAGACAGGCTGATGGATTCGACCATACTATTAATGGGCTCCACTCTCACCTGCCTAATAGTTCAGGCCTTTAAGAGGGAGAAAAATAAAAACAAGGACAAGGACATCATAGAAAAGGAGCTGCACCTCGTTTAATACACAGTCAGACATACAGGGTGACCTAGCAAACCAGCTTGCTGACTGGTGATCTAGTGGAGCTGTGGCTTGCCGTGATTTGGGCTTTAGATTCCAACATCCTCTAAATGTACTCTTTGTTCTCACATTTCAGACTTCAGCCAGAAGTCAACGAGTTTCTTTACTCCTGCATGCCTGCAAACCGCCTCACTAATAGAACTTCAGGGAACCACTCTGAAGGATTTACGGCGTATGAATCCGTGTCTGCCTCTCCATCAGCCGTTTGTTTGCGGGTAAAGAAAGCAACAAGTTTTAATAACTACAGCTGGCTGAGGATGCAAGAGGAAGGGCATGGCTGGCTCAGATATTTCTCTCTGTGGTCAGAGCAATGATCCTGTGCTGGCCACTAGACTCTAGTGACTACAGTCTACTCCATTATTATGGAGAAAGGAGAGACGTCAAGTTGTGTTCCTTGACATCTGCTTTTCAAATAAATGGAAGAAAGAAAACCTCATATCCTTGGGATGGTCCTAAACAGTGATTTATGACCAAACAAGTTAAAAGGGACTTGTATGAGCCCTTGAAGAAGCATAAAAAGTGTGTGAATTTAAGGCACAAATGGACAATTACTAATGAAAACAAACATTGCAGGGGAAATTAAAAAGCCTGCGCTCCGCCTGCTCCTCCCCTAAGCCATATTTTTTTAATCCCAATACTCGTTTTCAGCTCATTTCCCGTTCTCACGCATGAAGATACATTAACACCAGAGAACACGGCAGGATTGTTTGTGGGAGGCTTCTATTGCTTGCTTTTGCTCAAATAGTTGTACGGGGCAACATCTGTATGTTTAACTCAACAAGAAAGAATGGTTTGGGCCTTTTTGCCTTCTGAGAAGCAACAATGCCAAAGCAAAAACACATTGTTCACTCATGTGAATACACCCTTTAGTGCTGCTAGTTCCCATCTTTACTCTTCCAGTTCTGACTCACTGTCTCTTGGCCCACTTCCTTTGAGACAAACCACAAAGGCTTACTGTTAGGAATTGACACCATATTAGGAGCTAAGCGCTATGCAGAAAACATAAGAGGGATGTGAGTTGGGCTCAGAAAAACACGAAACAACAAACATTTACATAAACTTCGATTTATCTTTAAGAGACAGAAATCACAAAGGTGCTGCTTTGTTTGTTTTCTCACTCTGCTTCAATGAACAGGATGTTTTGTTGAGAAAGCAGCAACATCTCAAATCCTGGGACAATAAACACAAACATAATCATAGGCAGTGATTACAAACACAAATCTAAGAGAGGCATTTACACTAACTGCAGATATCCTGCTGCTAATCTTGTTACAATGAACAGCTGACAGCAGATAAAAAGATGTGCCTTGGACAGACACTGGTTCTAAAAATATCTTGACTCCAGGGTTTGGTAACTACTTCCTAACCGAGCGCATTAGCAGTTACAAGAAAATGTTGTATTGGTCTTTGCAGAAACTGATCAAACTTGAGTTTTTTAAAAACAAACAGAAGAAAGTTTAAAACTCACTAATACGTTTACAGTCCATCTTCCTGCCCAGTGATACACTTTTTTCAACACCAAAAGGCACATCTCTTCAAAGAGAAACATCCACAAAAGACCAAATTGACACATAAACCTTCAGACAAAAAATAATATGTTCAGTTTGTAGCTTGGTTCTTTCTTCTAGTCTCTAGTTTTGCTTTTTCTCTATTATGCAAATGGTACAGTATATTTCTTAGAATCCATTTCAGTTCATACAACCAACTGCTATTTATATTCGTCTGGAATAGGACTGTCTGTGGTGATGAAATTTCATATTCATGAAATTTCCAAAGCAATCTCCCTCCCTGGAACATGTCGAGGGATTACCTATGTAAATGGTGTATGCAGAGCAAGGAGAGAGAGGCCAGTGATTGGAACGACTGATGATCACTAAAGCTTCGCCTCCATGGCAATATATCTGATTATAGATTCAATTTGATAGTTTCAGGATGTAGATGTTGTTCTTTTATAGTCTTTTATATTTACAAACCCCGGTTAATTTGTTCATCAGTTTCCACGACTATATTCTATCATTACAAATCACAATACCACTTTTTTTTCTCTTAAAAGCTAGTTTTATCTTGCTTTCTCTTATTACAATTTTAAGACTCTAACTATATGATCAGCTGATGTGAGTTTCTTGAGATATTTGATTTAAGATCTAAAAATAAAGAAAATAAAATAGTCACTCATAAAAGTGACAAACATAAGTGACAAAGTAAACAACAAATATTAAATGCATTGATCTTCCCTTTCCAGCAGTTGTTTGAAGATATAGATGCACTAAAAACAAATAACACCTTGAACATAAAAAAGGCCAACTCAAACCCACACAATATTTGCATACAGTGGGTGGGGAAACCTCTAACAGGCACAGCACAAAATCCAACGGTAAGACAATCATTATGCACACATACACACGCCCTGTCACATGGAGTACACCATGCACGTGGTCCAAGGATTTGAGAAAAAAAAACTGCATATGTGCAGCTGTGTTGAAAACAGAACGTGAGCATGATACCAGGCCTTCCAGCCTCTACATGAATCAGGGGTGTTACGTAAGACAGAGATGATACACTTGGGATCAGCTGCTCCCTCCACCCTTGATCACCAACTAATCTCTCCCTTTACATTCTGCCTATTGCTGTTTCTCATGCTCAAATATCATTTAAATCCATAAAGACAGACAATCAATTAATGCACATCAACATCCCAGTGCCTGAAACCCAATCTAACACACATTTAATTATTCCCACAAACACACTTCGCTTGCTGTCTGAGGCAAGGACATCTGGCACATTTCACAGACTGGCTATGTGTGGAAAGTGCACGAGTGTGTGTGGATAGTGCATGTTAGAAGGTAGTGTGTGTTTGCATATTGATGGGGGTTGGGATTGGATCAGTGAAAAAGAGTCTGCGGTAAGTGAAAAGGGTTCAACAAGTTCAGTTATTCACATCGCACTCTTTAAAGGAAGACCAAAGATACTTCATGGGTCCCGTAGCCATAGATAAATATCTCTTACTTCCCCTAGAGTTCCATGTGTGAATCAATGAACAACTGTATAAGATGTTACTATGCATTTGAAGATATAATCTAAGAATTCAAAACCTGAACTGAGAACCTTTGCAGGGTAAAAATGAAAGTGGTTAGCTGTGTCAAAAGCTATCAAAAGGATGCTAAATGTCAGGCTTGATTAAAACCAGATGACAGCAATGTGACCACAGACAACATTATGTTTGACTCAATAGCGGGGAAAAACTGTTGTGCCTCATTAGGACAGTGAATGGATTCACAGAGAGCGTGAGATTGAGCTCTAAGCTGCCGCTCAGAGGCACAGCAACCTGATCGACCCTAGAGTGAAGGAAGCCAATTTATTCTAACTGACCTGCTGGGGAAAAATAACCTCAATCAATCCTCAGGACATGGCAAAAGATGGTGGTTTGTTCTGTGTGTGTCACATGGGAACACAGACACACAATGAGAGAGAAAAGTGTGAGCATATGTATTTGTGTAGTTTGTGACTTACCTGATGCGTGGCCATGAGGGAGCAGGAGAAGGAGGAGGAGAAGCGTGGAGGCAGCCAGCCTGTGGGCTACAGAGGAGGAGGCGGAAGAGGAGGAGGACGGGGCTCGCGTCGGAAACGCTACCATTCCATCGCACATCTTTTCCTCTGACAACCTGAGAGTCAACTACAGCTTAACCTGTCCTGGCCACAAAGGGAGGAAGGGATAGACAGAGAGGGGGAGGGGGAGGGAGAGCGCAGATTACTATCAACATTCAGCCAGGATTACGTAACCAGAAGCAACACAGGACAGGAGGGGATGAACAGAGAACGCTGTAGAGACTTGTGGACCAACAGTGTGTCGCAGAGACCATCTGTGTGCTTAATTAGTTTGCAGTTGATTTGGTAATACCAGAACTGAACCAGTATGAGTGCTCCTGTCTGTGTTCTTTCAGCATTCACTGGCAACACCGATCAGAGTGTTCTTCTCATCTTTCTGTAATTCCTTCCTTGGCTGAGGAAGATGATCTATCTACATAAACCTGTCATTACACTGGGATGCAGGCTATATAACAAAGAAACAAATCACGGCGGCTGTTAAGGTGGCATCTTCAAAGGGGAATAAATGGGTAAATCTGTATTGAGACCAACTGTAATTTTTACAAAAACATCCTTAAAAAGTGGTTTCTTCAAAAACCAGAATTTTGTGTCACTTTATCACAATGAATTATTGACGTGAATGCTCTGTGATGGTACAGAGCAGCTAAACTTAGTGCTTGCATGGTTGGTTATCTGATTAATAACTTCTAAAGTTAGGTGAAAGAGAGTGTACAATGCTTTATAAAACTAGTCAGCACTGTTGTGAATCCACTTTACCATACATTATACTGTAGGCTGCATCTGCAGTAGAGTTTGATGGATAAATTATGCAAAGATTGCTGCATGAGTTGCTGATTTCTGCAGCACTGCTAGTGTTTTGAACAATTATTGATAACAACATCCTACCAAATATGTGTTCATTTGTATCCCAAAGTCAACATAAAATTACAGACAATAGAAATGTTTTTTGATATAATGAAAACGTAACAACACTAAGAAGCAAGCAAACAAACTCACAAACCAGTGGTGCCAACCAACTAATATCCCTGTATAGGTAATAAAGCATCTGCTTGTCAAAAGGAACCAGAGGGAAACAAATGTTTCCCAACTTAACTAACTTCCATATCAACATTTGCTGGTTGATTGGGTGATCTAACAATAAAACTGTGATAAACTGTCATTACATAAATAATACATACTGTAGAACTTGTACTGATGTACTACAAAGACTGGGATGAAGAAGCATAGGCTCTGTTTTTAATGGAGCTTTAAAGCCAAAAGAAAAGATTTACTTAAAAGGCTAATGGCTCCATTACAGTTTCAGAACTAACGTCTACAATAATGTCCAAAATAATGGCTTAGCTGCAATGACCCCTCTTTCCCTCTGGTTAAAAACAACACCATGCTGTGCTCTTGAGTGGATTGTGAAAGAGTTAATTAGCAGTCAGTTCCACATTAAATGACAGCAGTTGGCACTTGGCAGAGGTATTTGTCAGCTCTGCCTCCGATCGGCACTGACAGTTGGCATCCAGGCCGACGGCACATTCTGGTGAGGGTGCAGGAGTTGGAGATAGCAAACTCCTCCGTCCCAAAACATGTATCAACTGACCAACAGGCCTCAATGAAGCTCTGGAAGGCTAAACCTCCTCATTGTTGCAAGCAAAATAAAAAGAATAATGTAAAATAAAAGCCCACACCCTTAAGAGTTGATGTTAAAAACAGTACGGTATTAGAAAAGTGCAAACCTAACTGCAATCCTGCTGCCTGACCATCACAGCTGTTTAAGACATTACAAACCACAATGACGTGGCTGATCACTTGAACAGTTTCTGTCGTTTCTCTCAACCACCTTTAACCTGCTTTATATTTTCCATTTCAAGCTGCAGATTGCTATGCCTCTACATTAGAGTGCCCTGTACTAGGCAACCTTTTAAAAGGATAAAAAGCATTGACACAGGCTAAATTTCCCAACACATGGAAGCAGCAGCCGGCCATTGCACAGCACCTTTCTGATGGAGAGGCATACCTGCATGCAGAGCAAACCAGTGGGGAAGAGTGACGCAAGTCAGCTTTGGCAGGACAGTCTGCGAACTGCATCCAGCCAAAGGGAAGCTAGTCAAAAACACATGCAGTGGGCCTGTGCCAGTCATTTGATCCATAGACGCTTTCTCATTTGTACATGGTTGGATCAGAGTACAGCATCTGATTGGGTCTGTGTTTTAAGAGGCCCTACGTTATCTTGGGCGGTCTTTTTGACAAATATCTTATCAACAACAAGGATATGTGAAAGCCAAAGCCAGGACACTGAAAATTGCTCTCGACCGATTGTAAATAATCACTCTGGATAGCACAGAATGCAGGACTGCCCTCCTGGAAGAGCTGAGGACAGAGTATTGGACAGCCAGTTTGTCTGCAAAGTGAAAACTTAGCAGAATTAGTTTAATTGCTTTCTTGCTAGAGTCTGAGAATTGAGAAAATCATTACCCAGTCTGTGCAAAAGTATCTTACAAAATGTAGCATCGAGTTGGCTATCAGACACCCCAAAGCTTGAAATGATTTTTCCCCAAGATCTTAAAATGTACTGACATTAAAGTCTTGCTTAGTTTGACATAGAAAGTCAAAATGTGGGTTCAAAGCTTAGCTGTAAAAATAACCTGCAAATGTGCTGAGTTTTCTGTCAAGCAATCACAATGATGTTAAGATCAATGATATATAGTTTACTAGGAGAGACTTTTTGTATCAAACCACATACACAACACAATCTCCTTCCAGCAGCTTTTGCAGCCTCTTTGAAAACCCAAATCACAACTGTGCATCCTCAGAGACAAACAACAAACATTTATACATATGTGCATCTCAGTCTAATAGCAGTTATTCTAAATAGTAGGCATCACAGTCAGTATTACAGTATAATAATTTAATATTATATCCAACCTGAACTATACTGGCGTTTCTATAGATTGCACAGTGGGTGTTTTACTTCGCAATAAAAACAAACTTTGACTTGACTTTCCACCTTCAGTTATGACAGCAGAGACATCAAATGCAACAACAGGGAAATAACTATAGCATAAAGCAGATTCTTTTGACTAAAAAGAACTTGAAAACTATGCATAAAGACTTCAAACAAGCACTTCTATAAATAGCCGTGGTAAAAAAAAAGAAAGGACTTCCTTGTTTTATTTCATACAGTACAGCTCTGTGTAGCTCGTACCTTATTTAAATAAGTATGAAAAAGGTTTGATGAGGCTCATGATGAATACCACCAGTCACTTCCCTGTATTCCTAAACAAATACAGAAGCACTGGCACGAACTTGCATTACTTGCCAAGCAACCATTAAACGAAACTGGTGTTGCCAGTTTCGGCTTATCCCCATGTTTAAGAGGCAGGACACAGTACACAGTATAAAAATGATAAACATTCAAAAATTAGTTTAGCATACCCATAAATGCCGTTTATGACGTTTTAATTGTTTGTTTAAATTGTTGCTTAAATATGTTAAAAACAGCTTTGATAATGATTGCAACTCTTGGTCCCATTTGAATTTAAGAAATAGAAGTTTAATAAGTTGAAATACTGTGTCTTTGGTCCTCCATTTGAGGAAAAAGTATGCAGCTCCCCACTTCTGACATCAGTGAGACAAGCAGCCAGCCAGCAGGCTGCTACTGCAGTTTTTCAGCTGCCTGAGGCTCCTGGAATGCAAAAGGAGCAAAGCAGAGCAGCCGAGCAGGCATGTGTCCGGGAACAGAGAGCACTTGGTGTGCCAAAGAAACAGTCGAGAGGAGATTTCCACCCAATAGGCCCCAGTGCTATTGCTGGTGGTAGAGCCTGCGAAGGGAGCCCAGAGAGGGAACTCAGCATGACAGCAGAGAAAGGACCCTTTGTTATCTAGTATAGTGTACTGTAAAGCCCTACAGCTCCTCAGCATCCCTCTGTGCTGCTGCAAGCAAACAGACAAAAAAACAAAGATGGAGGACAGAGGAGAAAAGAAAATAAGATAAGTGAGTTTAATCTGTTGAATAAAGTAAACGAGAAAGAAGCATGTCTTCCACCAAAAACAAAAACAAAAGGTTTGACTAAATATTTTAGACACAGAACACTACACTATTTGTGTCAAAACACAAAACACAGGATACTTCTGTGGCTTTGTTATCCAGTGTAAACAGCTCACATCTGGACTTCCCAGCCCTTTGCAACTTCAGATATGACATCTTCCCCTGCCCTGCTAACAGGAAACGACTCAAACTTTTACTGGAACAAAAGCCGAGAGGCGGGGAATAACCCATTTGTGGCTGTCTCAGGAAAGAGACCTTCATAGCCTGATAACAAACCTCTGCGACTGTATCAAACATGATCTCCGGGGTCCCTGGCCATCCTAAACCGGAGTCACACGCTTCGACACGTGCAACTGTACAGTGAGCTATTTAAACAAAGACTGCGAAGGGCTGCCAACACACACACACACATTCTCACACACAAAGACACAGATAACAAAGCCAAATAAAGTAATATAACTACGCCCAAAAGTAGCTATATAATCTCTAAACCGAGTCACCACACAAAAATTCGGCACATCTCGTACTTCCTTGTGCCTTTTATTGTTCATGTGACCAAGTATAACAATACAGTAACGTTACAGCTGTTACAGATGAGTCTAATTGGACACTGAAAACATATTTTGTCGTACCGGTATTCACACTATTTGGTCGAAACGAGATACTCACACCAATTTTAACTTATCCAAACGACTGCTTAAAAAATCTACACATTACAGTATTGATCTGAACGTAGCTAGCTTAGTTTTTAAAAACATCTATAGTTGAGAAACAAACTAAAGAAAATACCTCGTATACTAGAAAAATGAGTTCATATTAAAGAAAAACGTAGTTGTCATTTTCGTGATGTAATCAACAAATACAGACGACCGAAGAAAGGAAAAGACAGTGAGAGTTCTCGTAGTGGCCTGCCTATGTATGCTTAGCTTGCGGAAAAACCGACAAGACTTACCAACGTAAAGGTTAACAGCAGCGAGCCCTCCTCTGCCCGCTTCACATTCGAGGCATTAACGATTGTGAGAGTGGCGACACCCAAAGTAAACGTGGAAACTGAAAAAATGTTATATTTTTCGTCGAGTAGCACCGTCTGTACTGTCCGTTTCCCCTCGCACTCGACACGCCAGCTCTTTATTTTAGGTGAGCGGAAACGCTCGCAGTAAGAACTCTATGGGGCTGCCTCGCTCTCGCGCGGTCTCCATGGCTACCTCTGAAAAAGGCGGAGCTAAATATTGACAACCACAAACAAGGTTCAAAATAAAGGATTTTCCTTGGAGACAAAAGAATTAACTTACAACATACAAAGGGGGAAATCAAATCAGAGAAAAGCATCAACAGCAAATATTATGTCATGTTTAGCATTAAAGATTATTACTAGATGTAATAATCTGAGATGTCCTCCAATATGATGATCATAATACAATATGTATCAAAAACATATATAAACTGCATCAACTTTGTCCTACCACTTTTGAATTTTTTGATTAAAACAACAGCTACACATTTTATTTTATTTTTACAAGCTGTTGTGTAGCTCTGAACTTTTTAACACTAATATATTAGTGTTGGTTTGTTGATACACTTAGTAATTCTGCTGCCTTCTATAGTACAGTCAATACAATACCCATACATACCATAATATCACCCAGCATGGGTTACATGTTCAAACTTTTGAGTGATTCTCTATAGTTAAAATATATTTAATCAAGTCCATTGCATTTAATTATCAGTATGTGTAAATGAGTAAATAATTTGGTTTATTTTGGAGGGATGATATGTTATATGATATTGGGTTTCAATACATTGATGAATAGATATATATATCAATAAACTTTTTCTTTGAAAAAATGTGAATGGTTTAATTGTTCAACTCAAATCTCAGTATCTCAAAAGAATTTTCAGAAATAATTTGTATTTGACCTAATCACACAATGCTTCCTCTTCATATCTATACTGCTTACTATCAATGTTGTCTGTTTACAGTTTAATCTTTTGCATACGATTGTTTTTTTCTTCTTCCCACAGTTCTTTATTATAGGAGAGATTTAAATCCCAGCAACAGACAGCCAATCTGTAATAGGATTAAACTCCAGCTTAACACCCTGACATGTAATGTCCAGTAGAGAACAAGTCTCCCAGGCATAAATAGGATGCAGCAGCTCTGTTTCTTCTAAATTTGGTCATTCAAATGAACACGTATGCAACATATTAATTAGTCCTACAGCTGCTGTACTTTATGGGGAAAATCATGTTGAGAATTTTTGTATTTTAGCCATGCACTCATTTTCCCTTGCTGCATTAACATCAATAAGACTGGAGGGAATCTTCCCAATGCTATAAGTATAAGTCTTTTTTTCAGTAAGCTTGAGAATAACTTCTCCCTGTGCGTCAATGCTGACATCTAGTGGGTATATTTCCTTGTTGTTAACATAAAAGTTCTTCTGATAAAGATACGTTTAACATTATTGTTATATCTTATATAATATCAAGTTATTTTTGAGAGAAATGGCAACGTTGAACTTTCCAGCTGATAAAAGGTGAGACCATAGACACATATGTATGTATGTATGTATGTCTATGGTGGAGACCCCTCAGAACTCTCATGGACAGTTACATTACCCGGAAGGAGGGGAGAGTGTATCAGTACAAGTTAAACTATTTGAACATTTCGTTTCATTTATTAGAAGTTATTTGATATTTGCTACAATAATATAGAGGTAAGGCACGAGAACAGCACAGTTAGTTGGTATTCACAACATTGGACTACATTTTATTTTTAAATGGTCGCACCCATTTCTGGCTTGCCATTGTTGCTTCTCTACATACAAAGCTTTGCACGATTTCGTCAAGGCTGTGACACGGTGTCTCCCAAGAAACCACCACTTGTCTGCACAGTAAGACTTAAATTAAATGCCACGCAAGTGGTTCGTCGTCTACAGTAGAAAATTAATAAATAAAAGTTCCTAATAAAACTTAACCTTGCCGGGCTAACTTAGCAAACTAACCGTTCGGCGGTGCATTGGTTAAATGGGCTCGTCTTTTAATCATCCGAGTTTCTTCGGTATTTTTAAATTCCTTTGTCGCGTGACAAACAAGCAACCGTGCTCTTGACATTTCACCTACATGTTAGTGTGAGGGCATTGGGTGTTAAATGTAGTGGTTCATCCTGTTACCTTCAGAAAGAGGAGATAGGAGCATGTAGTCAGACCGTATGGGGAGCTATTTGAAAATGATATTGCTCTTTATTGTATACAAACAACAAACTGTGTTTCATATGAAGAGTGAACTGAAGGCTACTTGCTCTTTCAATGTGCCATCCGGTCGAAAGGTAAATATTATGCTTACATAGACTTATTTATTCAGTTTCCTGTCTTTAAGGGACCATTATATGCCCTTATCTCTTCTGGGTTGTGCACAGATAGAATGTTTTTTTTTTTTTGCACCGGTTTTAAATATAGTTCAACTGCTTTTTAACACTAAACACTCCAAGATATCCTCCTCAAAGTGTGCCCTGTGTGTCAAGAAACTGGAATGGTTCCCACATGCTGTGGGCCATTTGAGCTCTGCAATTGACAGTTGAAGTGGGTCGGAATCAGCCCGAGTCCCAGAAATGGCCAGCTCACAGGTGCGCTTGAAAATTCTCCCCAGCCTTCGATCTCTCTTTGATACATCTGTGCAACTAAAAGTAGGAGGACTTGTTCCCCACCAACGAGTGAAGCTGAGGTCCAAGTTGTCAGATGACAGAGGGGTCGTTTTCAAAGCTTCTGCCTCGTACAAAGCGGATGAAACCGGCCGGGTTGACGCCTGTAAGGCACCGTCCCTTGGAGGAAGTTACAAAGGCGTGGAGCCCATGGGTTTGTTTTGGGCCATGGCACCAGACACTCCTCACAGTAAACTCCTGAAGAAGAACGTGCTCACCCCAACCGTAGTGGAACTGGAGGCCCTGAGCGAGGAGACCGGTGAGGTCTTGGCATCTGAAACCGTCGAGAGAGGGTACCTGACCGAAGGGATGAAAAGAATACCTCTGCAAGGGGGGAAACTACGAGGAGTCCTCTTCATCCCAACAGGTTAGCCGAGTAATGGAACTACAATTAAGAGAAATATATTTCATTCCTGGGTAATAATCTTCAGTTGTCTTTCTCATTTCTATCTTTTAGGAGAAGGCCCTTTTCCAGGGATTTTGGATTTGTATACTTTAGGTGGAGGCCTTAGTGAACCTAGAGCCAGCCTCTTGGCAAGTAAAGGTTTTGTGGTTCTTGCGTTGGCATATTATCGTTACCAGGATTTACCAAAAAGCCCTCAGAACCTGGATTTGGAGTACTTTGAGGAGGCTTTAACATATCTGAGGAAAAGACCAGAGGTTTGTGTTCAAGATTAGAGTAACATTGATGTAATATTTAAATTTTCTTGTTATGAACACAGTGTTCTGGCATGTGTGTGGTTATATTTAATGTCTCAGTGTTGCCATCTGCTGGTTCATTTTTAGTCACGCATCCGTTGTGTACAATAGAAATTAATTTAGTCCTTTTCAAAGTTTACATGATAAAAGCCCGGAGTTATTAGAAAATCTGGATATTAGTGGATGGACAGACATGAAATTAGATTATTCTTTAGAGACTTTTCATTTAGCACGAGACCAGCATTGTCAAGTAAAGCGAACAATGAAGAGGAGTGAGACAATAGATAATAAAAATTACTATTTTCAACCAAATATCATCTTTTTCTTTAGAGAACCAAAGTAATGTGTATTCTTTATCTGATGCCACTATATATCATCTCATGTCTCAATTTGATCTTTTATGCCTAGATTTTGTTTTTCATCTCAGGTTTGATTTTAGTAGGGTCATAAAAAGAGTGACTTGCCTGTGTTGACTCAGAATGTGTGCATTTGAAACTAACTGTACAATTATTGATAAAAGTGGGGGGGAAATTAAAAGAAATGTATGCTTCTGTTTACTCAAAGTTGAATGTGCTGATGAAAATAATTTGTCAAGTTAAAACAGAATAATTTCCTCTCCATTTAGGTGAAAGGTCCTGGGATTGGAATCATATCTATCTCTCACAGTGGGGCTCTGGCTTTAGCAATGTCCTCTTTTCTTCCTGGGATCACAGCCACCATCTGTATTAATGGCTGCAATGCAAATACTTTGATTCCTCTCCACTACAAAGACATCGTCATACCTCCGCTTCCACCCGTCATACAGAATGTTAGAATCACGAAGTCTGGGCTAATAGACGTACGTGATGCCTTACCAGACCCCACCCTGGGAGAGAACAGGGCGTCTTTGATTCCCATTGAACGTTCCACCTGCCAGTTCCTGTTTGCCGCGTCTGAAGATGACCACAACTGGAACAGCGCTTTTTTTGCCGAGCAAGCCGCCGCAACTCTGAGAAGTCATGGCAAAGACTCCTTCCAGCTCCTTCTCTATCCAAAAGCCGGACACTTTCTGGAAGTGCCTTTCGTGCCCAATTGCCAGTCTGGGTTCCATGCTGCTGTGGGGAGGGAAGTGGTGTTTGGTGGAGAGCCAAAAGCCCACTTTGAGGCTCAGCTGGACCTGTGGGAACGGGTCCAGCAGTTCTTCAGGAGCCACTTGTGACACAAGGACCCTTGTTAGCAGGCAGCGCTGTGTAAAGTCTGCCCAGCATCCCTGAGTGCTTGTTAGTCCTGTGATTAACATTTTCTGTGAGTGCTTACAAACATGAATGATAGAGAAAAACTAAAAAGTTTGTTTGTTCGTAGAGTTTTGTAGGCTTTAAATACAATCAGCGCTCCCACAGGGGTCACACTGCACAGCCAGTTCCTTTATTTTCCTAATATTCTGACTTATGATGAGCAGAGCAAAGCAGGAAATAGTTTGTCATCGTATTGGTTATCAATACGCAATTCCTTTGTCAGTGCAGAGATTCTTTCACATGACACAGTTCTCTTGATGATTGACCTTCTATGTGAAGCAGCTGGATTCGCATGGGATGACAAGAGAAAAAACATAGCTCAACAAATATGTTTGTGGGTGTTTTCTACTATTTTTAGATGCCTATCTATTTTCTGACAGTCCGGTCTGAGAGTTTTGTGGGCGGTTTGATTACTTACTATTTCTGTCAAGTTAACGACAGCTGGAAATGGCCGACACATTGAGCAAATGTGTCTCCCTCCATGTGGACTCTGTCTTTTCATTGTATGACAAGGACTCACACGATGTCTCATGCGATCACAATGGATAAAGAAAACTCTGGTTCCTTGATGTCAACCTAGCTTTTACTTATTTGACAAACGGTTGCTTCACATAGACTCTGAGCTCCCCTGTATTCACGTTCACAACTTGATTTACCTTTGTGCTAAATAATAAAGAAGCAGTTTGCTGTGCGTTATGTGTGATTATGGAAGCCTTTTTAGTGTTTTGCATTACAGAGGCAAACCTTCCACTGCAACTGGCATTCCCACCAAACCAAAGAGGAATGTCACACGCTCCTGTCAGAGTACAGGCTGAGCAAGACAACAACAGCAATGTGAAAGAGGAAATCCAAGTTGAGGTTAAAAATACACGTCCATTTACAACACCATATAATGGAGATTCGTGGTATTTCGTTTAAAAAAATAAGATAGAACTAATTAATCAAATGCAGTACTATACATTCAGATTGACCTCATGAGAGTTGAACCCATTTCTGATGCCTTTATGGGTCCTTGTAAACAGCCTGCCTGTCATTCACAACCCTGAGAGGACTTCCTCGGTGCTGGAAGTGGAGGAGGAGGAGGAGGATAAGGAGGAGGAGGGGCTCTCCTCCTCAGTCTTGCACCTCACGTTGTGTGAAAACCCAGTCGCGGTCTCTCCCAAACCGCCCAGTACCGGGAAGCCTCCTCCGGCTGCGCTTCTGGAGGCGGCATCAGGACTCCCCGGCAGGTTCCTCTGCCCGGCTCCCCCCCCCCCCCCCTTCATCCCCTCCTCCGGAAGAATCACTTCGGTTGTTGGAACTGGTTACAGGAGCACCATCCATCCATTCACCGAGAGAAAAGGTTTTTTACTTGACTAATTGTCCATCGAGCATCCTATCCGGAAAACGATGGGGCGTTTGACTGAGGTTTGCTGTCTTCTTTTGCTTTGATGACTGAATTGGGGACTTGCCATGCCCCCCTCTTGTATTTGCAAGACATATTCACTGAGAAAACATTAGGCTATTCACTGGAAGCCGCACCGAGATCTCCTGCGCGCAGGACGCGTCATGTAAATGCTTCTCCTCGCCTTCATCACGACCGGGGCGTCGGGTGCGGGGATGCCGCCCCAGTAGCGCGCTCACACCCTGCCGGTTCTCAGACAGATCGCCGGGATTTCCGTTTTTTTGGGCGACATGGAAAGCTGGAGCCGGGCGGTGACCGTCGGGGACCGGGCGGTCAACCTGACGGCGGCCAGCCTCTGGCTGGATCTGCCCAACGCGTCCAGCCCGTCCAGCCGGTGGGACGGGAACGGCCAGCGGCGCCTGGTCCGGGAGCAGGCTTACCGGGACTTCACCACCACCATCCAGCTGCTCATCCTCGCAGGTTCCCTGCTCGGTGGGTCTGCCCGGACACGAACGCGTACATTTAGATAGCCCCGATGACTGCACCACTTTGATCCACAGTAACAAACCAGTTGACCAAATCTGCACCAGTTGACTAAATCTGGGTCAGCAAAAAGGAAATATGTGATATCATGTAGTCTGACTAAAGTATTTGATTGATAAAGCCATAACAAATCTTAAGGCTGAATGAACATATGATGTTCATATGAGTGCTATTCACTCCTTATAATCAGAGACCCCGGTTTGTGACCTTTGCAGATCCTCAGACATGACTGACAGAATTTCAGTGATCTTGAATTAAACAAGTGTGAACACTTGTTTTAGGGCTACTCGGCTTTGAACAGCTCATTCCCCGGCAGCTGTAAACAGCCTGTCCATTCTGCCCCTAGTCCACCCAGTGCTCCTGTTTTACAAATCAAATATATGTGACATGTAACCAACTTCATGTGAGAAAACAGAGACGCGCTGAAAATGCCAGCGAATTGAATCCACAAATTCTAAACTTGCCAGTCCAGCCACTGCAGATGGGACTGGAAGAGAAGCCCAATTGTGTGAAACCCCAAGAGAACAGCCACTCCTTTAAACTGTTCATTGAGTCCACATGACGTACAATATTGAAGAGAAATGTTCTGATATGTGTTTATTATGAAGCCCAGCACCATCAGAGATGTAGCATTTCACGTGTTCCTTCCCTTTTTGGAGATCGAGAGTGTCGATGGGGCGTTTGCAGACTGTGTGTGAAATCTACAGTTGTTCAATTGTGAGCGGATCAGAGGCCATAAATGATGGTCCCATGTAGAGTCTAAGCATAAGCACAGATATTTACGTTGCAGTTTTTCTCTATGGGCACCCATAACGAAATGGCAGATGGTGTACATGCATTAGGCCTCCCGAGTTGAAACTGTTCTGTCCTAAGAAAGGCACGAAACTGGTGATATAGTGAAGAGGGAGGCGCTTGCGTACTGATGGACAGCACCAGCACATCGACCATTAGGATCCTGGATATGGCATTCCCCTCCATCATATTGGCAGTTCATCCTGCTGAAAATGAGCAGTGCAAATGAGTGTCATTCGTCACAAATGTGGCTGTGACATCCTGTGAAAAAAAACCTCTGACTAGATTTCTGCCTTTTTTTATGGTGTGAAGTCAGAGAGAAGGTGGATGCTCGTCATTCATTATGCTCAAATATGGTGTAGTCGACACAAAACAGTGGCAAAAAGAGGCAAATCGCTATTGCTTTGACTCAAGGCCAACCCTTGCAGTGCAGAGCACATTTGCACAGCCAAGGAAGCATGAAAGGGTGTAAATAATGTTTTCTGGGAGCATGGCCAACAAAGCCTTTTACTCCCGTTCCATATCTTGCACTGTTTGTTGTAGAAGACATTTAGAAAACCAACACATTGACAATGATCATTCTATATCAACATTAGCATTGGGCAGACATTAAATGACAAGTTGGTTCCTCTGGCCAGTACGCTGGATGTGGTAGAAATGGCCGAGTGTGAAGACATGGCCAACTTTGATACGAGCCAAATGGTTCTGGCCAGAAGATTTAATAAGGAGACGTTGTGAATGACAGTCCAGACTTCCAGGATGTAGCGAACGCCTGCTAATGGACCAATAGGTTTCTTAGATTCAGAGCCCGCTTAGCTTTGCATGGTGCTTTATCTGTTTTAATGTTGAACTATATGGATGTGGTATAATCAGGTAACCCCTGGTTTTATATGAATATAAGAGAAGTAGTTGCCCCAGGAAAGGTAAAGTTAAAGTATTGCATTTGAAATCTGAGTCGATTTATTTCACTCTTCCCATTTAATTTGATTTGAGTAATCTCATCGGCACACTCTTTTGAGCACACAGGTAACAGAGCGACCTAAACGGCGTATAACCACAATGATTTGGTTGAACTCTGTGTTACTCAGTGGATTTAGCTGTTTAATTTCTATACATATAAATGTAGAAGAAACAATTCATGTTCTTCGTACCTCTTTGCGAATTTCCTTTCTCTGCCTGACAGGTTTATACAATTGTTAATAGATGAAACATTTTACCCTCTAAGTAATGAAAGCTGCACGTTGACATGAAAAGTCTCACTGTGGCAGCGGGCTGTGCTCCTTGGATTCTTTTCTCTGAGGTTTTCTTTAGAGTTTTTTTATTCCTTCTGTATTTTTCTGTTTGCACAATTTAGTGAAGTGCAAATTGCAACATAGTTTTTATTGTATAAAAATCAGATCCAGTAGAATTGAAAAGGAAGTCCCTGTACTCAGCTTTGGGCAGCGTTCAAACTGCAGAGCATTACTCGAAAACATTTGTTGGTTAGTCAGAACAGAGCTTTTCCTAATTGGGCACTTATTGCTTGATTAAAATTTTTTACCCCAAAGAGTCTTTACTCTAATTAAGATCTGATGCTTTGTTTGCCACGTGCATTGAACGATCAAAGTTTATGCCTGTAACTCTTAGAAAGACGGTAACATATGCATACAAATAAATATCAGATTCTTACTATTTTTTTTACATGAATTGAGTTCCTTGTGAAAAGCCAACAACGTTGTGCACCTTTTCTGAAAGAGCTCAGATCAGAATTGTCCTGACAATCAGATTAATGTGTGTCTGTCAACCATTGTTTTCCAGTCTGTGAGGGATTACGTAGGATCTTTGTTGCTCATTCACAAAATACAGTAAATCTGCCGGGGAAAACGAAGTAATTAGCACATCACTGGGCTGCTAAAAGCAGTGAACTACGGTCATAATGACTCACACCTCGTATCTCAGTTAAGCACGCTGCTATCTTTAGACACCCAGATGCATCCTGCTTTACAGATCATGGCAGCTGACGATCAGCTGTGTAGGGATGACACAATCCGCCTACCCTGCACTTTTTTTCTAGGTCTGCTACCTGTGGCCGTTCTGCCATTTGGTGAGCGGTCATGTTTGGTGTTTGTTTATTCTCTGTATTGGCTGATGTGACTATGGTTGCCAAAGTGTCACTGAAGTGCCAGGTGAGTATTTCAGGCTCAAACGGACAGAGTATTTTCAGCCTCAAAATAAACTCAGCAGCAGTTAACATATAAAAGATAGAGTTGAAACTAGTTTAGTTCATTCTCAATAGTGGTGAGGCACATCGAAGCTCGCTTAATGGTCCAAACTGGAACATTCCTGCAACGATGGGCTGGGTGGTGAAATTTAAGGCACTTAGTGAATTTTATTTAATGATAATCTGAGTGACAGATTTTATGGAAACAAACTATTTGTTTTTTTTTATTCATTGTACGCCACTGTTATTGGACAGAAACTGCAAATCTGAGAATTCACCTCTCTTGAGTCACTTTGTTTTTTTATAGCATACAACTAAAACATGCTCATGGTGATGTTTTAGTATCAGGTTTTATTACTAGGTCAATAATGTTAATGTCAATAGGTTCATCTAACTGCAACTGGTAAAAAAACAATTAGAAATCAGACATTTAAATGCCTCAAAATCTTGTTACCGGATATTATCCCAAGCTAAATTGAGCAATACTGATGAGTCGGTCTTGTCAGTCAATTGAGCTTAAATGAAAAAAGGTTTTCATCCTCTCACCAAAAAATCCATAGTTCCCCTGGGGACTACGATGTTTGTGTCTCCAGAAAAGAGGCTGTAAAAAGGTCAGGATCTAAACGTGAATGTAGGTCACCAGGAAGCTGGACGCTGGCATCACGTTATCTAAGATGGCTAGATCGATAGGAACTTTATTATTCCTGAAGGAAATTTAAGATGATTGTCAACGTTGTTGAGATTTAACACATATTTTTGATTGTGACAGTTTTAAAAGCCCCCCCAAAAAACATGAATTTATCATAAACTTATTTCTGCTCCAAGATTTTTATGTATAATATACATATTTTATACTTTCTCTTCATTTACCTCTATTTGTTTCTTCATTTAAAAGACTGGCCCAAAACTGCCTCTCAAATACCCCCTTTATGTACCGGATATGATATTCCAGTAGAATCTGAACTGGTAGGCATGGATTTATATTCAAAACAAGCATTCTTTTGTGTAATTTTGCTTTTAAACAACTAAATATTTGTGCTCTTACTGTCCCATGCGAGGCATTCAAACAGAACAGAGTCGGAGCGTATTTGAGTAATTATATGTTAGGGCTTCCCCGAAACACTCCCTCTGTGAGCTGCTCTGTTCCTCAAATCCCACACTATCCATAAATCATGCCAAGCTCTGCCGAAACCGGCTTGTTCCAGCTCCATCTGAAACATCCATCTCCGGTCAAATGTCCAAAACCGTATTCGCTGTAATTGATTGTTGAATGTTACCATTTATCTAAACTGATCAGCTAATGAGGACTTCCTCTGATTGACTCACTGACCGACTGACTGAAGTCTTTTACCCCGGCGGTCACCAGAAACAGACAATTTGAACATAAAAACTTTCCCTGAAGAATATTTTGCTGTACTTCTGACATATTTGAGCTGACATCAGTCAGGTTTTTAAGTACGCAATGAGTTTTTATGCTTTTTTCTTTTAGATATTCTGCACTCTCACAAATAGATGCAGTTCAGATTGTGTACAAAGGCCCCATTTTCCCCACAGATTTTTAAACCTGATTTAACAAAGCTAAAAACAGCAAGATTCCAAACCATGGACATGGACACAGGTGAGAAATTAATCAAAATTATAACTCCATGTCTTATGATATAGTTCTGTGCGAAAGCACTTATCTCCTCAGATGTTTTCAATTCTCGTTCATTATGTAAAAGCACCAGGGAGGGATCCCATCAGTTCCACATTCCATCTGCAGTCGCACCAAACACACCAGCAGATTCTTGAAGAACTATTTTCATCCCCGTAACAGATGGTTCCCACACAGTCTTGACGGAGAACATCGCTGGGAGTGCATGAATGATATCTGGCTGCCCACAAACACGCAGCTGCTTGAGAAACTGTGTGAGAAACAACAAATTCTGATAAATCTATATAAAAAAATCGAATGAAATGAGAGAGCGATATCCAACACTAAACCAATTGCTTCAGTTGATCCCAAAAAACCATGTTTAAATTCCAAGTTGACTTAAATTGAAACTACCCTCTCATCACCAAAGGCAAACTGATAAGTAAAAGCATTGTTGGTTATGCTCTTTACTATATTTCCTATTTTTCTATTGTTTTCTGTAGTACTGGACCCTATTGAAGCTTCACAGCCAGATCAACTAATTTCTTTAAAAGTCAAATAAGCCAAACCACTTCTTTACTGTGCTATCACACTTTCCCATTTACTTTTGCAGATCGCAAACCATGCCAGAGACCCCCGACACTTTCAAACAATTGTGATGAGTTAATCAGAAAGCAAACTGGAAGTCTCTCTCTCTCTCTCTCTGGACAGGGAATGCCACCGTGCTGTGGTGCACCTGCTGCACCAGCGTCTTCAAGTCGGTGACCAACCGATTCATCCAAAACCTGGCCTGCTCGGGGATCTGCGCCGGCCTGGTGTGCATCCCCTACGACGTGGCCCTGGGGGCCAGTCCCCGCTGCTGCCTGTGGCTCCACACGCTGCTGCTCTGCAAGGCCCTGAAGTTCCTCCACAAGCTCTTCTGCTCCGCCACCGTGCTCAGCTTCAGCGCCATCGCCCTGGACCGGTCAGTCCAGCCCCCGCCTTCTACGGGTCATTCTAAAAAAAAAAGTGGCATTTTATTCAAAATTGTGTTATTACGTGATATTATTTAAATTATATTATAATTGGACCTACTGTTGAAGGGATTTTTTTCTCGAGGGGGGGACAATTATGGCTTTTTATGCCGTTGAAAAAGTCTTTTTCAGCATGCGCCTACTACCTGCGGTGCGGAGAAGAAGAGATGTGGAAGATTGCAAATGATGGAGCATGTCTCTCAGGTCTGCCTGCGGCGCTGAGTGCTGCAACAAAAAGCGGCTGCCCACATAAATCACAGACATTTGGATACACTTAGTCTTTCAAAAAGTCATGCTTATTGTGCCCTTTGTCATCCATGGATAGATTTGGATGATTATTCCAACTGCAAATTCAGAGGAGGCTTTGGGTCGTGGAGAGAAAAGATGGAAGATAAAAAGTAGTCAAACGGTTACCAAGAAATCCAGACATGATGTTAAAAAAGAAACTTTCTGGAAACCAGTAGATAAGTACATAGAGTGAGTTAAGAATTGCAACCAGGTGTGGATGAGAGGAACTGCACGAAGGGATAATCACAAAACAAAAAACAGGTGTAAACACACCATGCAAAAAGTTAGTGGAGACTAAATTAATTATCTTATTTAAAAAATATATATATTTGAAATGAAACTGAAACCATTCAATAACATATGATACTTTTCTCTATTTTGCATTGAAATTATGTTTTTCACTCTCGACTGGATGACAATGAGGTTTCCCTCATGAATTTGTCTTAGTGTACGGCATAATTTCGTCAATTTAGACCAATTTCCCTGGCCCTGCTGATTGAAAACATCCCGACAGCAGGATGCTGATGTCACCGTAGTTAGATTTAGTGATCCTGTCTCCAAAATAATGAGTTTGAGGAACATGTGATGTTTTCCATTTTGGCCAAAAAAGTATATTTTTAGTTTAGTTTAGAACAGTACCTTTCTCCAAACATTATGCTCTTGTGCCCTGTAGATTTGTCAACACTTTCCTTTTTTTATCCTGCCAGCATTGTGAATAATATGACTTAAACTGAAGCTGCCAACAGACATTTGGAGCTTTCAAAGTAAAAAAATACCCAGTTCTTATTTAGTATACTTATTTATTTTGAGAATGTAATTTGTGTTTGTGCAAAAAACACCAGAATAGCTAATTTAGTTAATCAAATAATGTGATTACATGCCATCAGATCAGTTCAGACATAAATCCACATAAAAATGAGTACACCATTAAGCCATAAAATATATTTAAAGGAAATTGATATGTAAAATTCACACTTCAGAATCTTTGTACAGCGTGCCAAACTACACAACGAGAGCTCTATAGTACATAAGAGAGCAATAGTAACACAAACTGATTATCCTGCTTTATGCAGACTGGCCAAAATACCATTTATTTTAGTTCTAATAATAAATGCTAGTTTTATTTGTGTGTACGCGAAACAAAAATGTAGTAAAGTGCACCTTTACAAACAATGATGAATAAAAAATGACATTTTTAAACGTGACGGATTTGATGAGATCAGCAAAAACACTGAAGAGCACAGTTAATGCATGTGGCCTTCATTTCCTGTTTGATGCTGGTTGCTGTAAGGCGCACTATTGTTGCAGCCCCAAATCAGTCCTGATGTTTTGGCTCTAAAAGATGCGTGGGCTCCATGGCAACTACAGTAAGAATGATGTCAAACCAATTAATTATTCATTCTTTCAGAGTGTGATCCAAGTTGTGACTGCAGCTACAAGGTCATATACACACATTAGTACAACTGTACTGTTGAGCCATGAAGTTCTGAGTTTTGTGCATAAATATGGCCTCACCCTAAGTTTAACGCTCTACTGTTTTACTTAATTCCTCCCATTCCAGATGGGAATGAGTAGAGCTGTCCCTGTATAACTGTATAAGAAGCTTATTATAAGGGTAGAAACCTATTTTTATTTCAGTCTCCTTCGGAGTTTCTGTTAGTCTCTGTATCCGAAATATCTGCCAGTTTAGCTAGAAGTAGTCAGGCTTCTCCGGTCAAATAATGTCATCATTTCAATATTGCCGGACTGACGTCATTAGCCCTTAAGAAGTTTGCAGACTCCTCCTCGTAGATTATCGCTGTGGCCACTTTAGACACGCTCAATTTAAAATTCCAGGCTGTTTATCTGTATTGCCACGTAAATCATCTTAAGAGAGATTTTCATAAGCCACATCAGCGTGACTGCATTCACACTGCCCTCAAACAATAGGCCTTTTTTAACAGCGGCCTCGGCTTGAGCAACAACACATGCATTAATGCGTGCGCACACAGAAATAGGGCTCACAATTTTCCAGGAAACTAATCAGACCATATTGTGAAATTTGATCCGTGTGGTTGGGATTTTTGTCTGTTTTTGTTTCCCATTGTCAATTTTCACAACATGCTCTTATTGAGAGTAATTACGGGGGCAATAAATAACGTGAACTGCAAGTTGAGCTGAATGGACATGGAAAACCTTTTTAATGAGAAATGTTGTTGTGATTTGTGTTCACATGCTCTTGTTTGTAATCCGGCCATTTCTATTTCAGCACTGCAGGGCCCTAAAATCTCAATTAATTGAGCTGAAAGCCCATTCCATTTTTTCATTTAGCTGAGATCAACACATAATACATATATCCTTTCTCTTTGCCTCTTTGATTGCTTCTCAGTTTTTATAAATGGAAAAACGGAGCTTCTCCTTTAGCACGCCTTTCATTTTCGTGCCTCTTTAGCTGCTGTGTACTCTGTGTTTTGATATCCAAAAGACCAATTAATTACCAATCTGCTTCCATTCATTGAAAGCTACGAAATGAGACTCGATGGCGGGTTTGTGCACATGTGAGTTTTCCAGAAGATGCACAGCTTTTTATAAATAGTGAAAAGATGATAATTGAGGCCTTTGTTTCTTTGTGCCCTATGTAAAGCTGACACTTTTTTTGTCTGCAGATACTACTCTGTGCTGTACCCTCTAGAGAGGAAAATCTCTGAAGCGAGATCTCGAGAGCTGGTCGTCTACATCTGGGTCCACGCGGCGGTGGCCAGCCTCCCCGTGTTTGCCGTGACCAACGTGACCGACGTCTACGTCAGCTCGTCCTGCTCGGACGACCACGCCCACTCCGTGGGCCACGTGGTCTACGTGCTGGCCTACAACATCACCACGGTGATCCTGCCCCTCACCCTGGTCTTCCTCCTGATGCTCCTGATCCGCAGGGCGCTCAGCGCCAGCCAGAAGAAGAAGGTGATCATCGCGGCGCTGCGCACTCCCCAGAACAGCATCTCCATCCCCTACGTTTCCCAGAGAGAGGCGGAGCTGCACGCCACCCTGCTGGCCGCCGTCCTGGCCTTTTCCGCCTGCAGCGCCCCCTACGGGGTCCTGGTGATCTATCGCACCGTTTTGGTGGACACCGGAGAGATGCCCGTCCTGCTGTATCTCACGGCTCTTTGGCTCCCCAAGGTGTCTCTGCTCACCAACCCGCTGCTGTTCCTCACCGTCAACCGCTCGGCGCGTCACAGCTGGCTGGACCTCCTGGCCCGGGTTCACAGACGCTACAGCCGCCGCAACGTGGTCAGCTCTGGAGGCCTGGCCTCCCTAGGGGGCGAGGGGGTCATCGGAGAGCCAGTGGGACTGGAGGCGGCTGGTCGCTCCGGGAGCCAGCTTCTGGAGATGTTTAACATTGGCCAGCAGCAGATATTCAAACCTTCTGAAGAAGAAGAAGAAGAAGAGGAGGAGGTAGAGAATGAGATCCCCGCCAAAGGATTAGGAAGCTGCTCGGGATCCATAGAGGACCAGAAGGCTGTGACAAGACTAGGGAGCCTCAAAGGGGAAGTGAACACAAAAATGGACTCTGGAGCAGTGGTCATCACTAAGGAAGTGCCTCCTTCAGCCACAGCACCGCGATCATCCCCGGTCCACACGTGTGCTTACACCTCCTCATCACAGGTGGCTCCCGCTACCCCCACAGAAGCCGGGGACTCCCCTCAGTTCGGCTTCGGACCTTTTGAGCTGCCTCCGCAGTGGTTGCCCGAGACCAGGAACAGCAAGAAAAGGCTGCTGCCCCCACTGGGCAACACTCCCGAGGAGCTGATCCAGACCAAACTGCCCCGGCCGCGGCCCGAACGCCGCATCAGCAGAAACAACAAGGTCAGCACCATTCCCACCGTGGACCCGTGAATTAGCCGGCCTCAAATCCGCCATGCTGGACACACGTTGGTACAGGAGAGACCCCCTGGACCAGAAGCCCTCAGAATGACTCAGGTGTATGTGTGACTTCTATTAAACATTTTTACTCTTTTGCAGTTGTCATCATGGAGCAAATTAAAATGTCACACCGTTCTGAGCAAAAAGAAAACCCACCTGAGGCACTGCAGTATTCATAATGGATGAAAATCAATTTGCTATCAAATATACACAATGTGAGAAATGTGTTTGTATTACCACTGATCTGAATGACCTGGTTTCATATCTTAGCAACCCCCACAATGACTAAACCATGTAGAGGGCAGATCTTTCTTTTTTTATTGCCTCTTGATTCCCTCCTGGCGCTTAGTATCCACGAACAAAAAACACTGAAATATGGCCACGGTACAAAAATCAAGAGAGAATTATCAATGACACAATTCGTAGTTTGGGTTCGGTTTTGCTGTGACTGATTGCATGAACACATATTATCTTTCACCTCATCAATCACAAGACCATTTTTGTAGCCATGTTTTACTGAAATATTTGGAATTAATGTTCCATTTACTGCCTTTTTTCCTCACATTACTTTCTACGATGTTCCAATCTCCACAAACGTTTTAGATGTTGTTTGTACTTTGTACGTATGTTTCATATTATGACAATACAGATGTACATTATGCAAAATACATGCCTGAAATGAGTTCAACTGCTTTCTCTTTTTTTTTGTACCCAATGCGTAAAATAGAGGGGGGTGGAGCAACAATTATTTGTATCTTTTATTCATCTTAATTCATCATAATTAGTTTCAACTGGTTTTCTGACTACAGTTTGCTTGTTCAGTTGCTGTAGAATAATAGCAGTAAAACCAGAGGTGCATCAGAATATGGTGAATCACTATTCTCTGTGGTGAATAATTCAATAGTAACAGTTTCAGCCTCAATCTTTCTCTGGGGTAAACAGAGCTGGGCTGCACTTCAAATATTTGCCAGTTCCCTCCTGGCTACCCACAATCCCCTGCTTTACCCGTAAAGACCCCAAATCTGTGCAGGACCTGAAATCTGCCGCTATCAGGCAAAACTGTGTGGTCACACCCGAACTGAAACAATGTCCACCGCCAGTATTTAAGACCAAGACAGGGATGAAGTTGAAGTCAGGCTATCACTGTGAGCAGTGGCAGTTCTTGTTGGATCAGAGGGGTCCAGGAGGTTGACAGTTAATTCAAAGTGTCACATAAAACCAGAGGATCAATGGTTTCTCCTCAGAACACTCTGGCCTTCCACTTATATTTTTCCCATGGATCGACTCAGGGCTTATCCAAACATCCAGCCCTTAGTTCCTGCTGGGCTTGACAACACACATGTAGATATTGACATCAGAGAGTGGCTACAATGAATTGACACAGATCTATACAGATGTATACAAGATAGACCACAAAAAAAAACATTTTAATAGTTAACAACAAACCAACATCAATCATGACACTGAAGGTTTCTAGTTTTTTGGAAAAAAATTCAGGCTGAAATGCCTTTCCCAATATTGTCCTGCAATACTTTATTCCAAATCACAAATTGTGTTTTTCTTTGTCTTGTTATTGATTTCAGAGGTTTTTTAGAAGCTGGAGCTCAGCTGCTGATCCTAAAAGAGCAATTAGACAGTAAGAGAACAAAACCCCAAATATAAACGGGTAATAATTTGATTTCAACAATAGTTCACAGCAAACTCTCTCCTGGTTTGTCTTTCTTTGCCTGAAACCATCTCTTACGCAACGCAGAAATAGCTGAGAAAGTCAGAGGAAAAGCGTGGCAAATTACAGCTTTAAGAGGTTCAATCTTCTTTGCAGTGAAAGAAGGAGCGTATTAGGGACTTTTAGGTAACAGAGGAACAACAACAAAGCCTGTTGTTGTTATCAGCTTTGTTCCATTCTAATCTAAACTGGAACTGGCGAAGGTGGTATTATGTATGTCGTCACTGATTCGTTATTGTTTATTCCCTACAAGGAAAGTTCCCTTTGGTAAATTAGTATTACATCTTGGCTTTGGTCAGACGGTTTCAATTCAGTTGTGTTATCAAGCAATAAAACCAGAGATTAAAAGGAGAGTGCAAAGAGACAGACTCAAATTACACAATTAGTCTCCATTGCCTCAGTAAATGAGAACCTTTTTTTCTGACTCTGCTTTTAAAATCTTTGAGTTAAGTATTTACTTTTTTTGTCAGTTTGAAGAAAGTGCTTGACTGCTGGACTGTCATTCTCATTTGGTCTGAGAAGTCCTAATAAAATTAGATTGAGAACAAAGCCGAACAGGTAAAATCTATTTTTTTTCCATACAATGTCCGAAATGTTGAGACAAGATAGAAATAACTAAATAGTTGAAATGAGATGAAACCCTGTCAGATAAAAATCAACTTCTTAGGTCTTAAAAATGTAGAAAAACGAGAGCCAAATATTACCTGTGACGCCTTCTATTGCAAAAATATGATGGCAATTTAATAAACTGTCTCTTATTTATCTACAGTCACAGTTATTAGTCCAACCTTCCGCATGCCGACTTGATGCATTAACTAAAACATGCAGTATATTTGATCTAATCACTGGAAACACGGCCTGATTTAATTAGCGGGTTGCCAAGCAACAGTTAATCCAGATGCTGTGGAACAGCTCCCACTGTAGGAAGCTGCAGTGTTTCCCTGCATAGGCAAAGTGTGGGGACATGTGAGGGACATTGCACGGAGTCGTCACGTTAGCATATAGTGACTCAGAGTATGACAATAGATGGACGTAATCTCACTTTATTTGCCAAGAACCAGAGAGGTTAGAGTACAAATATTTGAGTCATAATCCAGCATGATTCTTTTTAACATAACTGACCTGAGAGATAATCTGATCTACGGCAGAAAATGTGAGGTTTAAGTTTTTGATATGAGGAAAGATTTAAAGCTATAAGGAAATTACAAAACAAAATGACTTCAAAAGAATTGAAAAAATGGGCCCAAATATAGTAATTTAAAGTCGCTGTGCTGTTCATGCCATGAACCTCTTAATGGTCATGTCTCCTCCAATGCTCTCAAGAAACAACCTAGAGATCATATCAATTTTGTTTAAAACACACAGGCTGCCCATTTAACCCTTTGATAAAATGTGTAAATAAATTAAACAACATTTGGTCAAACATTTCCCACAAGATGATTAAAAAAGTTATAACTGTGGTCCAGAGCTGAATCACAGAGTCTTCTTCAACATTTCAGAGCCAGAGGCTGATTCGGTGTGTGAGTGTGGCAGGTGTGAGCTCCGCTGGTGTCAGGTCATCTCGACTCTGATGCTTGACCTCATCTCAGGATGCTTGACATTCATTCTGGAGTGTTTTCCAAATGCTTCATTTTCTCCATCCGCAGAGCCAATTTCTTAGACCTCAGAGTGTGGGTAAATATCCATCTGTCCATGTTCCGTGTGCACCTGATCCGTCTCAGGGTTGTGGATTCTCAGCTGTCTACAGGCCAGAGTCGACACTGGACAGGACATGTGGACTCACTATTTATTTTTTCCAGATGGTGTGAAGAGTCCGGAGTAACTGGAAAGAGTGCGGAACATGTGGAGAACATGCAAACTCTTCACAGAAAAGCTCCAGCTGGGTTTCAAATCAGTAAACAGCCGATGAGCACCACACATGGACAAACAGGCTCAGAGTCATATTTGTGGACACAGTCCTCAGAGCTCAGCTGGCACTTTTGCTTGTGGCTCTCGTGCTCCCCCACCTTGTTTAAAAAAAATAAAAATCAGTAATGTGTTTTCATAGAAACACAAAAAGCTGTCACAATGAATCCCTCCAGTCCAGCCAGGAGATGCAGAATCACGCACTTATGCCTCTTTCTCCGAAAACGTTTCAGTTTCCAACACAGTGATTCAAAGTATTGAGTTTTATCCCAGTCATGTGTGGAGCATCCACCCATGAAGCCAAACAGAGACGCTGCTGTGAGACCTGCATTGATTTCCATCAGTCACTATCTGTTTTCCTACCTGAATGAAAGAAAAAGCATGTGTTTTAGTTTAGCTTGGGCCTTTTAACAGGCTGTTTGGTTGGTTTGGTGCCGTATAAATTTGACTGGTAGCATAAAAATCTTTAGTTTTGAAATGGTTCATTCTGTGGAGGACAATTCATTTACACCAAAAAAAAGAAAAGAGGCTCAGAACACGGCAGTTTGGAGAGAAACACGCACACTCAGCATCCCTCTCAGCACTGCCCTGCAACAGTTTGGGCCAGCTACATTAAAGCTTAAAATAGCACATACTTAACCTTTAAGTGCCTCGGAAACACGCTGTGTTCTGATTCTGCATTTTCAATTAAACAGACTGATTCATTGATAGCTTGCGTGCCTGTTGATTTTCTGCATTATTGCAGCTCTGGCCCGGCACCCTCGGACATATGATGATGTTGAAGCTGTGTACAGGATTAAAATCCTGATGGAGAGACATGACAACACGAGCTTGTAAGTATAAGTCAGCAATATAAAATTGTGAGACCACATGTAAATGCAGTGGCGTCCTTAAATTTGGTTTAATACTTGTTTTTTTGTAAGAGTTGTGGAGAGATCTCACTGAAAATTCCAACGATTAGTTTGAAAACCGACAAAATTGGTTTTATAACCTACAAAATGATTTCTTTCCCCTCCAGCTTTGATTTCCTTGCGCTTAAAAAGTCCAAACAGCTTGTTTTCAAATCCAAGTAAAATGTTTACACTTCAAAATACCCCCAAATTGTGACCGTACCCCATTTTCCATGACTTGTGACTTCTTTTAAGAAAATAATTAGCACTTGTTTTGTATGTTTTTCAGAAACACTCTTGACAGCCAGTAAAGTGGAGAGCGAGCATGGATGAGAGGACATGAGGGGGAGAAAGACAGTGAAGAGGAACAATTACTGATATTGGTGAACCAGCAAACATCCCCATGGCAACCTCTTCCCCATTTCTCAGAAAGATGATGATGATGATGATGATGAAAGCAGGAACTGTCCGATCTCTTATATAATCTGTTCTTAATACTGTACAGAGGACTTTCATGTTAGGTTTCTCTTTCCTGGCAAACTCAGATCATTCCTGCCTGCCTTTCATATCTCACCAAACCAAATGTTTGTTATCTGAGTAGCTCCAGGAGATAGCACGCTTTTGACTGATCACACTTAATGTTTACCACCGGGATCTGAATATTGATGCAGCGAGTGTAAAGCCAGACTGGACCTGAGCTTTTCCCAGCCTGTCAGAGAGGTTTAGGTGACGGGGCGTCCTCCCTCTGGGAGGTCAGCGTTTGCCCGGGGGCCTCCGATGCGCCCAGAGACTCATGCAGGGTTTGTGTCAGAGTCAAGGAGCGACCGCGGTGAAACATGTTCCTGCTGGTAGTGACGAGCTCATAAATCTGATGATGGAACCTGTCGATAGTCAGATGGGAAACAAAAATAATGCCAGGTGCTGCTGGCCTTTGGAGTCACTGTGCTGGTGCTCAACTGTGTTAAAGGTGGGCTGTAAATCAGTTCAAACCTATATTGGGAATTGAAAATGGGTTGTATCTTGGTTTTGAATCTTTCTTTCAGTGTTAAAAAAAGAGCAACAGGAGTTGAAGTTTCTGTGGTCCTTTGTGCTAATCACTGCTGATTAGTAGTGACAAATAAAGTCTTTATTTAAGAAAGATTTCAGAGAAAAATC